GAAAAAAACAAAGAAATATGAATACTTTTACAAGATATGAAAAAGGCATTTAATTCAGTTCTACTAAAAAGCCTAGAATAGGCCCTAAAAAGAGTCAAAATTCTGCAAAAAACAAGAGAATATATAAGCAATATTTTCTGCAAATGACAGCTTAAAGTTATTACAACTTATGGTTTAACAGACGAAATAACTGCAGAAGATGAAATAGACCAAGGAAAAGTAATCTCATCACTAATTTGGCATCTTTTCTATGATCTATTGTTAAAAGATAAAACACTAGGCTATATAGTAGAACAAGAAGTAACAGAAAGAATATGCAGTGATAATGTTACAAGTTATAGACAAGCAGCAATTGTGTATGCAGATAACACAATGTAGATTATAAACAGCAAAAAACAAATGCTAAGAATTCTAAGTATTGCAAAAGAGTTTTTTGAAGCAAATAACATTGAAATAAATAGATTCAAATCAAAGCTCACAGTAATAAACACAAGAATAAAAGAAAAAGAAAAAGAAATTACATTTAGGTATAGTAAAATAAGAGAAGAACCTAAAAGCAAAATTGTAAGGTCATTGGAAATCTGGCTAAACAGCAAAATGAAAAAAGTACTAGTCTGTAAGAAAGCAAAAGAAATAGTTAGTCAAACAGTTAAAGATCTAAGATACAAAAAAATAATGATGAGCCAAATTGTATACATAAACAATACAGTAATAATTCCTAAGTTAGGATATCTCTTACAGCTAACAAAAATGCCAGAGAGAATGATTGACAAAATTCACTAACCACTAATATGCTTAGCTAAGCATAAATGCAATATGATGAGAATAGCAAACAATTGCACAATTGAGCACAAAGACCTAGGAAATTGTAAAACACTAAGTCAAAAAATAATGACAAAACAAATAAGTAGCCTCTTTTTAAGACTCAACAGATGAGACAATGTGAGTGAATTAACAAGACTCAGAATAGCTCAAGGATGTCAAAAAGCAGGCCTAACAGAAGACATTTGAGATAATAAAAAGAAAATAGAAACCAAAAAGTTTTGAAAAAACAACTAAGCCTGTTGAATAATAGCTAAAGTAAAAGAAATAGGAATAAGCATTAAAGCAGAAGAACCTCTATGAAAAGTTTATGGTTATGGTAAACAGATAAAAGACATGTTAGAAACAAGAATATGGATAGCAAGCAGCAGCATAATAAATGAATAGGGGTTATTATATCTGAACCAACTCATAGATGTAAAAGGTGACAACCTGATCACATGGAGGCAGCTTAATAGTCTTCAAGACCTGTTATGCAAAGGAAAGGAAGCTAAATGGTTTAGTGAGATAGAAGAAAAGATGCTAAGAATGCAAATGAGTAGAGAAATACAAGATAATTACAAAGTAAGAGGATACAATATACAAGCATTAAAGATTAAGTAGACAAAGATGTCTAAAGACTGAAAAAAAAAAAATAGAACACTTATGGACCGAAACACAACTAGCAATTAGGCAAAGTAATTAAGAAGAAAAAGGTGTTAACAGAATATTGGTTAATGCATACAGAAAAAGAAAGAACAGTAACAGAATTAAGTGTATGCAAAGGTTGTGAAAATAGTCCAGAACAAATAACAAACAAGTGTGAAAGATGGATAAAATGAGATCACAATATGAGAGTAATATCAGAGTTACTAATAAAGAAAGCTAATAATAGGATAAATGCAACATTAGAACAGATACAAGAAGATAGAGCAATAGAAGAATAAAAAAGAGATGAGATGAAGTTGTTAGAAATAAGACAAACAGAAGAATTAGAAGTAGAATTGATTAGAAAACAAAAATTAAACAGCACAATTACAAATCAGTTAATAGAGATATTAACATAAAACAAGAAGAGAGACAAGAGAAAATAAGCTTTTATACTAATGAAGCACTATACAAGAAGAAAGTTAAAAACAGCACAGAAAGAAATGAGCATTGGTTGGATGCAAATAAAAGAAGAAGAAGATTGACCAGAGGAAGAAACTATATTAGAACTTGAAAGTTGGCCTTCAGCAACAATAGCAGAATTAGCAGCAATAAGAACAGCAATTTTAACAGTACCAGAAAAGAAAAATGTAGAAGTGTTTACAGATAGCATTGCAGCATTAAGAAACATTAGTAGAGCACTTCAAAACATAGAAGAAAAAAGAGCTCTGAAGAAGAAAATCACAATATGGATATTAAGTATTGTAGGTTTAATTAAGAGCAAGAACATTAAGATAGAATTAACCAAGATTAAAAGCCATAATAAAAACAAGTAGAATAATAGAGCAAACTCCCTTGCAAAAAAGAAGCAAATTGCAAAATAAAATATATGCAGATAAAGTCAAATGTAACAGGATAGAGTACTATTTAGAATAGAAAAACAAGAAAATTAACATACTAGCAAGACTTTTATATAAAATAATAGTAAATACCAGAATAGGAGCCAGTTAAAAAGAAATGAACCTAATATGAACATTAGAACCAGATACAGAAAATGCACTATATAATTAGTCAAGCTTTTGGAAAGAAATGAACAGAACAAAAGAAGTTTATTGTATGTCAAGAAAACTCAGCACAAGAAGAGCTATAGCAATTAAATGCATAATGGATAGCCTACCAACACTTGAGAAGCTAAATAAAAGAAGACCAGAAGTATATACAATGGCAAAGTGCCAAGTATACCAAGTTGAAGAAAAAGAAACTCAGACATATTTAGCAAGTTGTAGTAGACAAAAGAGCTTATAGAAGCAGATTCAAAAAGTTGCAATAGCAATAGCATGAAACAGACTCAAGAAAAAAAAAAAAAACAGAATTCTATCACAAGTTTTATATAAGGCATTATTTGAAGAAACAAAAGCTAAAGAAATCATAAACAGAAAAGTGCTGATAAAGAGACTTATGATGCTAAAAGTAGAGAAAAGACTTGAGTGACTTTTAAGCAAGCAGGCAATACAGAAGTGTATAGATATAGTAACAAGAACAGTATGAAACACCTTCTATAACCAAGTATGAAGAGTATGATATGAAAAAATACAAGCCTGGAAGAAAAAGATTAATATAACAAACAAAATAAAAAAAGGTGCTCATGCAAGAGAAAAAACAAAAAAGAGGATAAAGAAAGATAAACAAGCAAAAGAAGAAGAAAAAGAAAGAAAAGCAGAAAAGATAAACCAAATGAAGAAAGAAGCTTTAAAGACAATAAATATACTTGTCACAAAAGAGAAAAGACCCTTCTGGTATGGCTTTAAGTAGTTAGATGAGCAGTCTATCTTTAACTAAGATAGTGTGGCAGGTTGCACTTAGATATTATTAGGGTGGCTGAGTGATGCTAAACTTAGATATTAGAAAATTCTATGTAATAATATAAATATATAGTTTCAAGAATCTTAATAAAGTACTAGCATAACTGCTTAAGGTTAAAAAAAAAAAAAAAAATAGAATATCAAATCCTATAACAATATAAGAACTACAAACCAATTTACAAAAATCACTAAATAGCAAGGTAACAAAACTACAACAAATATTAAACAAAATGCTAAAACATTTAAACATACATATTTGTAACCTATTATCAAAATTTTTTAACATATATTTTATACTCAAAACAATTCTAAAATGTAAAAGCAAAACAATATATACCCAATATCAAAAAAACAAAAATTCTTAAAAAAGCTTAATAAGATATATCTAATTTAATTAAATATACAAAGAAGATTTTTACAAAAATTATAACAAAATAACTAAATACAATATTTAACAAATATTTAATTCTACATCTAAGCAACTATGTTACAATTTCTAACACTTCTACACAAACACTAATTATTACAATTAGTTATATTTTAGAAAACACTTAAATTCAAAATAAGAAACTATAACTTCTAAGTCAAGATATATTAAAAACATATAATACAATTTATATTCTCTTATTTAAAAAAGTATTGCAAAAAATACAAATATCAGAAGAAATAATAGAACTAATTACAAATATCTTTATTAATCAATCCAACTATATAATAACAAATCTTGACCTTACAAAACTATACAGTTAGATATATTATAGACCAAGAAGAGACAATAGCACTTTTTTTGTAACATATTTACTATAATCTATTATATATAACAATATAACAGATTATATACTAAACACTATATATACTGAAAACAACAGAACAAGAAACATACAAACAACCTTGTCAGCATTAGTATATATGAATAACACTATATACATTAGCAAAATGATAGATAAGAAATATTTTGAAAGATTTTACATAATGCAAAAATTTTGAAATATTATGAAAAAAATTTCAAAATTTTTGTAAAATGCAAAATATTTTGAAATATTGCAAAATAAATTTCAAAATTATTGCACTACAAAAATTCAATTCAAATTTATAAATTTAAGGTTTAGTTTAGATTTAGATTCAAAAATCTGCAAAATTTAAAATTTTAGTTTAGGTTTAATTAAACTTGAATCCAATCCTAAATTGAACCTAAAAATATTACTTTTAGTAATACTGAATCAAATGTTTTCTTTATATTTTATTGAACTATTATAATTTTGTTATTATTCTTTGTACCTTTCATTATAACACTAATAATATGCACTAACTCTTCTGTTAAGTTGTCAAAAGTTTTGCAAAGTTGAACCCTTTAAGTATTTTTCTTTTGTAAAATATTTGTGCTAGTTTTCTAGTTAGAATCTTGGTTGTAGATACGGTTTATATTTTTAAATCAAGATTTGCTTCAACCGTTTCCAGCGACAATTATTAACCTATTTTACATTATATCAGGTTATCGAAAAGTTATGGTAAAATAAAGGATGGTCTTTAATTTTAGCCAATTGAAACTCTTACTGAAATGAACTTGACCTATTTGTTAATCATTTTAAATGCTAAGGCGACCGTAAGTATATAAATAGTTACACATACGTCATTGAGATATTGCGATATATTTTAACCTATTTGATCTTTTTACACTTCATTTCAAAGAAATATAATGAATGAAGATTTGAATGAAGATTGCATAATTTCAGTGCTCGAAAAAATTGCCGAAGAATTAGACGGAGCAAGTATATTGTTTCAAATTGCACTTTTGAATAAAAAGGTTGATATTTCTTCGTTATTTGGTTCGTTTTCCTTCAAAAAGATTAATACAATAATAATATTTTTCAACAGTGGAACCTTCTGGCAACTAAGTGCCTTTATAAGGATCCATGGAAGTTTTGGTTATACCGTCGTGACCCATTATTAGCAAAGAAATTAATAAATACTTACATTTTATGCAATAACGCTAATCCAAGAAATAGTAAAGCAGGCAGAGGAGATGAGCCAATTTCAAAAAAGCTTTGCACCAAAAAAAACACACAAGATACATATACTCCTAGATATGATTACATTTCGATGGCAAAAAACTTGCATATGCCTGCCTTGTATCAATGTATAGAACGGTATTACGAACCAAAAGAATCTCCAACCGATATAACAGACGAAGTGAGATTAGAGGTTAACAATAAATTTTCTCAGATTTTTAGAAAGTTTATTGATAGTGCACATATTAAAGAATGTACTTTTCACCAATCGACATCGAATGACAATGATGCATATCCGGTAACATTGCAAGATTTAAATCAACTTATAATAGCTAAAGGCACTATTTTGCGCTATCTGAACTTGGGATTTTTCAAGTGTAATGATGAAGGCTTGGAAGTCCTTACTAAAGGGTGTACGGCACTGGAGACATTCAAAATTAAGGCTTCTGATTGTTCAGACAGAGCATTGGCAAATTTTTTGAGAGCTTCACGAGAACTAAAAAAACTTAAAATACGTGATGCAGACGGAATGAAAGAAACCATGGACGCGATAAAAACGCAATCACAGTCCCTTGTGAAACTTCGCATTCTCAACTGTAATCTTGAAAATTGCACAATGCCATTTACTGGTATTGGGGATTGTACTCGTCTCCGTTCGCTCTATATGCGTAAAATACGTTTTACAACGAATACATCACTACTTTCACGACTTCTAATGCCAATTGCACATTGTGAATTTCATAACATAGATTTTACGGAAACACAATTACCTGTTGATGTGCTTATTGAAATTGCAAAAAAATCATCGACAACTTTACGACGTGTACATCTTATACGACCAGACGAACCAGACAACGGGACAGCGTATATCAATCTCTCTAGTGGAATAAAAGCATTGGCCCAACATGCCACAAATCTTCGTCATTTTGAACGGAATATTCATCCGTTGGAAGTTGATTCAATATGTTACTTCTTAGACATGATCGGACGATCTTTGGAAACTTTGTTAATAGATTCTAACATGGATGAACATGACATGTCTAAATTAATTGAAAAAATCGGTAGAAAATGCCCGAATTTATCCGTATTAAATATTAGTTATTTTGAATTTAGTCTCAATGCCTTTGAATCATTAGTAAACGGATGCTCCTTACTGCATACCTTGATAATTAACTTTTCAGAGTCAGTCAATGACAGAATATTAGAGTTACTTAATCGTGCTAATGCGTTACAATCATTAGAAATTTTAGGATGCCCTAATATATCAGATGAAGCAATTGATCGATTTCAGAGGGAAAGAGAAATCGATGTAGAATACCAATGATTCGAACATATATATTTGGTTTTATTGATATGCAAAATATTTATTATTCATTAGTGTTTGTAAAATGTATTTTATTATAGCGAACTAGTTGATATTAATTATTATTGTTAATTGCAATTATCAAACTCTTGCCATATTTTTATTTTCACACTGCTAAGTTTGTAAATATCTTCAATTTATATTATATATAAAATTATTTATGTTAATATATTAATTGTAATTTGTATATGTTTTATTTATTTTTTTAAAAAAATCAAATTTATTATTAAATATATATTTATTATTAGATATATATTTATTTTTTTTTCTTAAGGTTTTGCTTTTTTAGTAAGATTTTTTTTTTTGGTATTGTAATAGAATTTACTTTTTTTTTATATATTATTATATATTTATTTTTAGCTTTATATTATATTTATATTTTTCTTAATATTTTTACATAGTTTATAAATTATTTTATTAGTTTTAATCACTTATTTAATAGGTTAATGTTTATTATATTAGTAGATTTCTTATAGTATTTTATTTTAGTCAATAGTTGTTTAGATTAGTAATTCAAATTATTAGTTGAAAAATCAACTAGTTGATAACTTTTCAACTAGTTAATTTGAAAATTTTAAAAACAATTAGACAACTAAATTATTAAATAGTTCAATTATAAGATATTCTGTCTGTTTAGGCTAATTTTTATTAATTTTATTAATTTGATTAGTTAATTAACAAATTTAGTTACATAATATAAAAGTTGATTAGTTGCAATTATAATTAACAACTAATTAATTAACAAAATTTTTACTAACATGAAACATTAGTTTGAATATCTAAAATAATATTTGTTTAATATTATAAAAGCTTTAATTAAAAAACTCAGGTTATGTTTTAAATGTCTTAGATGCTTTAAGATATTCTAAAATAATGAAAAAATTAATTTAATTATAGTTAATTAATAGGGATATGGTAACTTAATAAAGTGAATAAGTTGTCAACTCCTTAAGTGATAGGCAATAAGTTCAAAACCTATTAACAGTAAAAATTTAGATAATCACTTATATAATATATAGACAGTATTACAGTAATGACATTCTGTTAATTAGTTGAAATAAGATATCTATTTCTTAAACCATATTTCAGACAAATTTGCTTGAAAAATTAAATTGTATTTAGTATTTTTTAAATAAAATAATAATTTATTAATGATATAAGATATATTTTGCTTATAAAATATATTCTTAAAAACATATTTTATAAACTTTATTATAAACCTTATTTTTTTTTTTTAATATTAATGATGAGGTTATGCCTTTAAGTTTATTAAAATTCAATTAAAGTTTTTACAAAAAAAAATTTGCTTTTAAATTACATATGAAGAATAAAAACTCAGACATATAATCTGCAACCTAAACCTACAAGAGTGACCAAAGCTTATCTAGATTTGGATGTTAGTAATAATATATAAGAAAGAGATATGATATTTAATCTATTGGATAGTTCAAAGATCAATTTTAGTAATAATTTGTAGTATTAAGATAGAAGATAATGGTAGACTAAAAAGAGAATTATAGATTAAATTTGTAGAAAATATAATTAAAGACTGTGCTGAACATAAAATACAATACAGAATCCATAATTGTTTATATATTTGTTAGTTTAAATAAAAAAGAAATTTAATAGAAAAAGAGATAGTTATACAGTAAGAAATAGAAATATTATGAATAGTAGAAACAAAGTTGATAGAAACTAAGTCAGATAAAGTAAAAATAAGAGATAGTATATAAGAAATGTTGTACAATTTAAAACTGTTAATTGTAAGAATTTCTTGATGTAGTTTAGAAACAGAATTAGTAAATATATCAAGAACAGTAATATTTAAAATGTAGTTAAAAGAATTAGAAATTAAATGATAAATTGTTTGAATAGAAGGACAAAGAGTCCAGTATAATGAGGAACTAGTTTGATTGCATTAGTAGCAGAGAGGAGAATAAGAAGAGTTATATTTGTGAAGAATATGAAAAATAGGTAGTTTATCTAAGAGAATTTTAATATAAAAGGTTTTTAAGATAGAGAAATGAAAACTATAAGCAAAGTTAGAGACTTTTTGGTTGTTATTAATATAAAACCAAATGGCTTCCTAGTTAATATTAGATGCAATGATAGACTATTGTTGAAAATGATGTTAAGATATCCAAAGTGTTATAATATGAGCTTGACAAATAGTACAGATAGAACATCAAATATGAATCTCAATAGAAAATTGGTCAATAGAATATATGCAGAGTTATAAAGGTTGTTACTTAAAAATATTAAGAAGAATAATATTTGATGACTATGAGCAAGCTGGTTAGCAAGATTATTAAATAGATCATCTTGGTGCATAGTAACTTTGTGAAAAGTGAACTAAATATTGTATGAGTTAATGAAGTTGATAAGAGTTTGCCAAATAGAGAAGTATGGAATATAAGTATAAGAAAGTTTAGAAGCTGATAAGCAAATACTGTGATATTTAGAGATTACAGATTGTGAATCAATAAAGATATAAACATAACAATTTCTAAAAGCAGTAATAATTACTAAAAGAATAGCAAGAATTTTGGCTTTAAAAGAACATAACCAAAGTTTAACTTGTATCTGAAATGAATAAATAGTTGTAGAGTTATTAACTTGGATCCAACTTATGCCCATAGAGCATTAAGAAGTACCAAGCTTAATAACAGAATCATTAATATAAAATGAGATAGTAGTTAGATTATAATTAGAATTAGCAATAGACTGTAAACTGTTAATAAGTTAATATGATTGAAAGATACAAGATAATTGTTGTGAATTGATTGTTAATAAAGAAAGAGATGAGATATATAAAAGATATCGAATAGCTACAAAGTATGCAATATCAAGAAAATTGGCATGTAGATTAAGAGTTTTGTCAGAATTAATATAACAAAGTAATTTAGTAGCTAAATTTATAGAAATAAAGATAATGCATTTGTTAATAATTGTATTAGAATTAAGATGGCATATAGGATATATAGTAGTAGTAGAAGAAAAAGTAGAATAAGGATTAGTAAACTAAAACTAAAATAAACAATGTCAGTAAGTGATAAGAGTAAGCCTGTAAGACTATTATGCCTTCTGGTCTTGCTAACAATGATTTAATTATTAAGAATAGTAAGTAACCAGGTCTTGATATTAGAGTTAAAATGGCCAGTAATATAAGGAAACTAGTTTGATTGAGGTAAGTTAAAATAATTATATAATGAATGTTGATAGGAATGACTTGTAGTAATATTCACAAAAGTAGTAAACCATTAAGGTATAACACCTTTAAGGAGTTTGTTTAGTCTAAAAGAAATATAATGCCAATATAATAAATATAAATTATCATAGGTGGTAAGTTGGTCAAGAAAGAAAAGTTTGTAGCATCTAAGTTGTTTTTTAAAAATAGTATATTTAGAATAAGAGAAAAGAAGAGATTTCAGAAAGATAGTTCTATTATATAAAGTATAAGGAATATTATAAGTTGGATTGATTGAGAATATTCAACCAATATGTTTAATAAACTATATAATTTTAAAGTTTGTAGTTAAGTGGTTAGGGCCATCAATAATTGGGTTGGGATGAGAGAAAATGCTAATTGGAGACCAAAGATTGTTTTGTAATTGTTGAATTCGAATAAGGATAAATATGTCTAATAGATAAGAATTATTAAGTTATTTAAAAAAGATTAGGAATATGATGTTGCAATTGGATGTCCCAAATATGTTTGATGTTGTAAATTTGTAGATGTAAAAAGGTACTAGAAGGTATTGTATAGCAAAGTTTGGCTTTAAGTTTGACAAGATTAATATGCTAAATAAAAATTTTGTTGCAAGTTGATTGATTGATTACAATGTTTTGAAGTTAGTATTTAAGAATAGGAATAATTACTGTATTAATAATATAGCAAGCAGATAAGTCAGTAATATATTTGGTTTTAATAATTTAAATTAGTTAAGAAGATTTAAAGATAAGTAGTTTTGTTTATTTAGATTGTTTGTTGTCCAAAGTAAATCAATAACCTAAAAATTTAAAAGGTATTTTAGAAGAGTATAAAGGAAGAAGATAGTTATTATAAAAGATATATGTATAATGAAATGAAGGATTGTTAGTAACCAGAATGGATTTTGAAGGATTGACTTGAATATTGGCTATAGCATAAAAGGATTCAGCTATAAATAATATATATGATAGTTCAAATTGTAATAAAGCAATCCAAAGAGTATTATCTATATAAGCCAAGACAAAGCATTTTTTTTGTAATAAGCTAGATGTTTGAAGTTTGAGCTTAGTAGTTCAGGAGGATTGTAATTTGTAACCAGAAGTGTTTGAGTATATATAGGAGATAAGTGGATCATAGTAGATATACCATAACAAAGAAATAATAGTTTTACTTTGGTTAATACTATTTTGAACTGAATAAGATGAAGTTAAGCCAAAATTAGTTATAATTTAATTGTAATGATCAGTAAGGAGATCAGAGAGAATGTTGATAGTAAATAAAGAAAGTGAAAGGTGAGAGAATGCATGTTTAAAAAGAGTAAAGTTGACAAAGTTATAAGCTTTACTTATATCTTGTAAGAGTAACCAAATGTTCTTATAATTACAAGAAGCATCTTTAATAAGGTTGTTAAGAATATGAATAAAAATTGAAGTACTGTTGTTGGAAAGAGTGATATAATTAAAAGGTACTTTGCAGAAAATTTCAATTTTTTTAAATATATTTACAATATAATTAATATATAATAAAAATATAATTAAAATATATTTTTTATATTTTTTGC